GGGGCATCCCCAAAGGGCAGCAGCATGGCTGCAGCCTGCTGTGGGGCTGGGAGATGTTTTGTCCCTTCGCAGCTGTGCCTTCCACCATAGTGCCAGTTTTTGGATGGTGCTCGGGACTAGCTTTTTGGATCAATTTTAAAGGACCCCAGGAGCTGGGACTTGCTCTGGGTGATATTTGGGGGAATGGGTGCCATGGGGAAGGGGCTAGAGACGGGCAGCCCAGGGTGCTGGAAAGTCTTTGGGGAGGGATGGCACAAGTTGGTAGGGCTGCTGGGGGCTGCAGCCTGTCCCTCTCGCACCTCTGACCGGCGTGGCCCGGGCCTCGGCGCTCCACTCGCTCCAGTTCCCCGCATCCAGGAAATCTTTGGCGCTGACTTGGACCACGTGCTCCAGCCCAGCGAAGGCATCTGTGATCACCTCGGACAGATTCACTGTCTCCACCTGCGCCGGGCAGAGGGGACCTGTGAGGCAGGCAGGGGCACCCCTCGCTGCCCTCCCTGGCCCTGTGCCCACCCTGCTCTCATGCCAGCTTTGCCTTTCCTTGCCCACCACTTACCACGGACCAGGAGCGGTGGATGATGGGCCGGTACTGGAGCCGAAACCTGAGCTGGAAGTGGGGTTCCTTGGGCCAGGAGGAGGGGTACTTCCAGCTCACGTGGAGCCGCCGTGGGGCCAGGGGGATGGGCTCCACCACCAAGCCTTCTGGAGGGTCTGGCTTAACTGTGTGTGAGAGGACAGGGAGCCTTTGTCACACCGGACTGCCATGCAGAAGGGTGTTGGGCTCCCTGCTGCCAGGGGGCTGGATGCCTGGGGGATGGATGGACACTGGGACAGACAGACGGATGGATGAGGACTCACTGATGGCCTGCATGGTGACATCGAGGAGGCGGAAGCTGGAGCCCAGGGGGTTCACCTCGGTGATGTTCAGGCGGTAGGAGCTCCAGAACTCTGATCCGTGGACGGTGCAGGTGCCGGGGTGGTATGGATCCTGCAGGCATGGCCCCACATGCCCATTCTTGTTCCTACAGACGGGCAGGCAGGGTGGTGACATGTCCCCCCCCCGCCCACCATGCATAGTTTGCCGGTGCTACCAAAGTGGTGGCATGTGAGGAGACCCCCACGCAAAGAGCCCAGTGGAGGAGGCAGCCCCCATTACAGCCCAGGCAGGATCCGGCAGCTGCACTCACCTCTCTAGAGCCCAGCACATCCCTCAGAGTGACTGAAGTGCCCCCCATCTCAGCCCCACAGTCCCTCCTGGGAAGGTCCCTCCCCTGGGGCAATCACTTCTCCCAGGGGCCCAGGCTTAGGGACTCTGCTGAGGACAGTGACAGAGCCTTTGGGACGGGGGCTAGTTCCCAGGGAGCAGCACCGGGGTGGGAGTCAGTCCTACCTCCGCTTCTCTTCGCCTGTCAGCGATTTCTTCCTGCCGTGGAGAGAGATGGGAACACAGATGGTGAGGATGAGGGGACAGCATGAAGCCAACCCCACTGTGACCCAGAGGAGGGACAGGGGTCCCTGCACTGCAGAGCAGCCCCCCATTCCCACACTGATGCACAGATGTGACACTGCACAGAGGATGGAGCTAATGCCATGCCCAGCCCTGCTGGCGAGCAGTCTGGCAGCAGAAGCTGGGAGTCTCATGGGAACAAGACAGCGGCGTGCCCAGGAGGGTCCTCCCCAGAGGACCTCCCTTGCCCACCCAGGGTTCATCATGCAGCAGCAGCAAAGGCACAGGGACGCTGATAAAAGCTCCCAGCAGATGGCTTCGCCTTCGCCCTACAGCCCCCAAAGCCCCCTGCTTCCCACAGAGCCCCCTTCCCACAGAGCCCCCCACCCACCGCTCCTCCAGCTTTCAGCAGTGCTGTGCTTTATGAGCTCCGCCTGACTTCAAAGCAGCCCGCTAATTTGGTATGCTGGGATAATTAGAAGCAGCGATGCTGCTGGAGCTCCTTTCATCCTGAAGCATGCTGAAGTGCTCAGCGGCTTGCAGATGACCTGCTTCTCTTTTGTAGCCCCTCTGGTGCTGGCAGAGCCATCAGCAGGGAGGGACCCTGCCTGTGCCAGCCCCCCCAACACTGCTGGGGGGCCCCCCTCAGAGCAAGCAAATGCTTGGTGCAGTGCTCACCCCAAAACATGACCTGCTCTGGGGTGCAGCCTGGCCCTTGGGGTAGGGCCAGAGCATGGGTCAGATGGCCAGCAGGATATGGTAGTTAGCCTTGGCCAGGACCCAGGGCTCACCCTGTAAACCCCACAGCCTGTGCCCTGTAGGGATACATCACCTGTAGGTGGTGATGTATCTGGTGGGGAGGAAGGTCTCCACGCTGGAGGTCCAGGAGCAGGAGAAGTTCTCATAGTCAGATGCTCTGCAGGACACAAAGGGGACCCCTGGCAGGTCTGGGGTCCAGGGGAAGTGACCATCAGTGAGGCATGCAGGGCCACAG